GCGCGAGTTAGGTCCGAATACCACATTCCAGCGATAGAGTCGCCACACTCTTGACACTGTCCTAACTCAGCCAGTATTACCATCGACTTCACGCTCCACTACTTGTTTCAGCCTGTGCCAAGCTTTCTTGTGGGATCATGGATGATGTGTGCATGCCATATGAGTGACCTGGAAAGATCGTATCTTTTTCATTTTCGCCGTTAGCCTGAGCGCGGCAGTCTGTTCACCGACATGATATCGCACCGACATAAGACCGCATGACACTAGGCGCGCTGTGCAAGCGACGGAATTTTTAGTTCCCCCGTTCGAATCGGCTGTCCCGTTCGGCTCAGCAGTTGAACAAATTGCTGCAAACCGCCACGCCCAAATATACATAAACAAGGCGGAACTGATGAAGTTGAAGGAAACCGAAGAGTCCATAGAAGCATGTAGCGAGCGCAACGAGCGCTCGTGTGGCCTTATTTTTGCTTCGGAAAAGAACAAGGTTAATCCGCCTCTTGTCGCTGAATAGGAGCGCTTTAAAGTAGCAACGTTAGGAGGCTAGGGAAGAGTATTTCCAAATGGAGGCCTTCATGCCAGCGAGAAGAAGCTTCTTTGGGACCACTAGGATAGCATGAAGACATGCCGCAATGTTCATGGGTCACAGTGGAACCACGACATGTGTAGCAGGCGTACGTCTTTGCCGACTTGATTGGCTTGATCGCAAGCGCGGGCGCCTTGCAATAGAACCAGAAGGAGCGCGGAAAGGCTGAGGAGGAGGAAGGTGAGCGCGCTCGGTAGCGCAACCGCCTGATTGAGGTAGGTTTTATTGGTCGCCGTTGGTTAGTCCTTGATGGTGGCAGGAGTTTCGAAAGGCAAGATTCTTAGGGCCACAACTCTAGCGTCCGCAACTTTGGGTTTCAGGGAGGTCGTGGCAACGGAGATTACAGCGAACCTCCGCAGTATGATAGCCGACGTGTGTTGAGATGAAGGTTGGTTGACGGCCAAAATGTGGACATGAACAAAAAGAGAATAACTACTTGTAATATTGAGATGAAAGAGAATGAGGGCTTGGCACCGTAAAATGAAAGAAGTTGAAGACTTGGCAGATTATAAGAGAAGGGATTGAGGGCTTGGCAGATTACCATGAAAAGGATAGAGTGTTTGATAGATTCAGATAAAAGGAGCTAAGTGCTTGGCAGATTAAGATAAACGAACTTGAGTGCTTAATGGATTAAGAAAAAAGGGATTGAAATAGATTGAGACCAAATAGCCCAAGTACTTGGCAGATGAACTTGACCAAACAAATTTGGAAGAATTTGGGAGGTTAAGAACCTGGGAAAGGTAGATGCAAGAGATTAAGACCGTATTTGTGTGGACCGTTCGATGGTAGTTGGTTGGAGTGAGTGAAGCTAGGCCGTCAATTGCACCCACGGGCTGGCTGCGTGAATTACGGCCGAAGGCCACCTCAATAAAGTGTGAGGAAGTTGAAGCCCACCGGCTCCTTCAACTTGAAAAGAATGAGTGAGTTGCAGGCTGAGAGATGGGAAGAAACGTGCATATTGTGAGCTGGTTTTAAACTTAGATCGAGCAGGATCGAAGTCTGTTTCCGGGCAACTGCGAGCGGCGCAAACTGAAGGCTGAGGTGACGGGGACGTTCAGCGGATCGTCAAAGGACAGCGTCCGCTTTGCAGTTCTGTCGACGGAGTGTTGGACAGACATCTACGGATGGCTGTCCGCTCGTATTATGAAGCCGCAAGTCTAGACGTTAGTAGGGTCCAGACGCATCTAAGGGATATGGTGGACTTGGACTAAGGTGGAGTAGACCTAGCTACGGGATTAGACTTGACCTGAACCATTGTCATGTGATTGATATTCATACTAAGAGATGCTTGGTGAAATTGAGGGCGCTCCGTTTGTGAAGGCGCTTGTGTGTGAAGGTGGTTAAATTTCTCGTAGGCTCCAAGCATGAGCGTGTGATTTCAACAACGTGCATGTAGGTTTTTACCGCCGCGTTTCTGTCGCCACCTTAGCCCCTACTGGTCGCCACGATTCCCCAGCCGAGCTTGCGTACAGTGGGGCGACACCTCTCGGGGACCGTGGCACGGGTGATGAGCGACGGTACCTGTTCTCCAAACGAGAATCTCGTTGTATCGCCATACTTGGACTTCAAGACGATGTTCCACATATCATCCAATTTCGATCAATGTATATAGGTTCATATGTGAAGTTCCTTCTTGTTGCTTTGTTGTTGCTGTGAGCATACTTCTAAATGACCGAGCAACTTGGAATTGGTTTTATGGTCGCAATAATGTACTCGTTGTCTGTTAGAGTCGAGCGCAGCAATTAATTCCATATACCGCCGGCGAGTCATACGGCGAATATGATTTCAGTAAAGTTTTTAAAGGTGAAAAGTGAATCGCCCGTTCATGGGGCAAAAGTAAAATGATGCCATTTACTTGCCATATGTCGGTCGGCTTTTGTTTTTTGATCAAACCCGGTTGTTGTCAATCTTTCGTGTTGGCTTTCTCCCTTAACACCAACATTTTGCATCGACGAGTTTGACCTACAGATGTCACGAGGCATGTCAGATATGGATCCTGATTATCATAAGATTGGAATTCTGCGTGCAAATGCCGGTAGCATCGGTAAGGGGAAGCCGGTGCATTGCCACGTTCTTAGACGACTACAGCAAACACTTGGTTGTGGTTCCCATGAAGCAAAAGAGCGAGGTGGCGAAGGTCACTAGGCACGTGATCAGCCGGTTGAAGTTGCAAACGCGGAAGAAACTCAAGTCGATGTGGACGGACCGGGGGAAGCAGTAGGTACGTCAACAAGGCCCTTGAAGACGTTTTTGGAGGCAAGGTGGTATCAAAGGATAGCTCACGAGACAACCGCCCCTTACACTCCCGAGCAGAACGGGTAGGCAGAATGGCTTAACCAGGATTGGAACTTGAGAAGACTTGGCCGATGCTTGAGGATTCGGGGTTGCCCAAAACATTGTGGGCAGAGCCGTGGTGACGGCGAACTACACACGGAAACGTGCGCCCGTGAGCGCACATGGGAAGTCCCCTGCAAAGCGTTCGTCGATAAAAATCCAAATTTCGAGCATATAAGGGTTCTTTGGGCCCAAGTGTTCCGCCACGTCCGCAAGGAGCCAAGGCGCAAGCCAGATCCAATGAGCGAGCGATGTGTGTTCGTGGTATACGAGCCGGACACGAAGGCTTAGAGGTTGCTCCGGGACCGTGACAGGAGGTTCATCCTTATCCGGGACGTCATCTTTGACGAAGGGATCGGGGGCGACGGGGTTGTCAAGCTTGGCTCCGACTTCACGGACGGTTCGTAGACGGCGGAGGGTCACGACGCACTGGTTTACACGGAGGCCCAGGAGGGACCAACAGTCAAAAATCTTTCGCGAGGCCGACGCGGCCGCCGCGCGCGCTTTAACAAATGGGCCAAATGAAGGCAAAATTCAAACTGTGTGCAAAGAAGGCGCAGAGCCGGAAGAGATAGAGGAGGATACCGGGATGCAAATACCGGCTACCAGGGGTACCCCACGCGTGAGAGACGCGCCCCGGAAGTGGTATCGTGCTAACTAAGCGGCAGAACTGAAGGCGGGGGCGCATGTTGAGATTCACCTTGTAGGGGACTAGAATTGTGGGGTTTCACTCGTCATCGGGTCTTATCGTAGTTGCCCGGTGCTCATGCTCATCACACGTTGATGGCAGCCATGCATCCTAAGAGGAACACGAAGCGCCTCACAAGCGGCTTCCTTCTCTCCAAAAACTTCTCTT